GAAATACAAAATTGACTTGAAGTTCTCTAATCTAAGTTCCAAAAAAAAAAATGATAAAACCTATACTACTTGGCAACATTTTGTAGATTTGACAATACAATGGCTTCAATTTCCTTCTCACCTTGAATAAACCCATTTCACAATTTTAAAGAAAATGATCTGGTTACTGTCCCAGTTACTGTCCCTTCTTGATTCACAATGGGACACCCAAGTGGAGGTACCTGTTCTGTATTCCAAGTGTCATCACCACAACCCTAGAGTGAAGGTGACACCCTTTTAGGTAATGCTACATTTCTCATTATAATTGGTTATTGGAAAATGTGCCTTTATTATCACAATAGTGGTATGTGCATTCTTGATTGTGTAGCAAACCCTTTGGATATTTGACTGAGATATTAAAACCTTTGGGTGTTAGGTTTTGTACTTGTAGATAAACTTAAAAGCATGGAATTGGTCATTTAAATTTCTATAAAACACACCTCCTTGTCACATTTCTGTGGAAGGTTCTTGACCAGTGCATACTAACCAAGGCTCAAAGGGTGGAGAAAGACAATTGTTCTTTAACGAGTTTCATTGTGTATATGATTGTAACTATAAGTCTGTTGGCAATAAACGATGTTGTAAAAAGTCTTTTCAGTTGGGGTAGTGGATCTTGCATTGTCTCACAAAGGGGCATGGTGGGAGGGGAGTTTGAAACCTTTCCATAAAAATCTCCTTAAAAGTAATCTGTCGAGGGTGAAAATGCCAGCTTAACAGGAACATCTTAAATGAGGATTGAGGTTAAATGATGAGATTTAGCTTCTAGTTGAGTCTGAAGAGAATCAGAGGAGAATAGATAGGCAAGATGACTGGTGCTCCCATTGTGTTATAAGACTGCTTCCTAACAAGAAACAGGGCAGTTTAGCACTGTGTGCCTCTTTACGTGAAACACAGGACGGGGAGCCTAGAAACTACCACTTGTAAAGAAGAAAGCGGGAGTAAAGTATATGAAGAAATTGAGGTTAAATGGCAGAATTCTTGCCTTCCATGGAGGAAATCCGGGAAACAAGGCCAATGCACACTTTCAACAGAGGCTTGCATGTTGCTATGATGATAAACAGAGCTTAAAGCAGAGCTTAAAGAAAGACTGGGAAGAAAGGCCTAATAATCTACTGCTGAAAATGAGCCAAATAAAACCTATGGATCCCCAAAATCCAATCCACAATAGATCAAGGGGGTGGCCCAGGACTGGGCAGCCAGCGTTTTGTTCCCTTGTACAAGGGATCTCCATGAGTCAGCACTGACTTGCAGCAGCTAGCAACAGGGCAAAAGGCAGGATTTGACCTGCTGTCTCCCAATGCACCAGGTGTATAAATGAAACACAGCACACAGAGCAAACCAAATGTTCCAATTCTTTCATCTATATTTTTATTGCCATGACTATTAACAATTTTCTCCCTATTCAAAGGGCAGTCCATTGACTTTCCATACAACTGTGTGGTCTATACAAATCAGTGTAAATAATGTCACCTATACACTGAAACTTCACTAAAATATTATCAATAGTGTTATTGTTTGGTGCCATCAAGACAGTTTTGACTCATAGCGACTATATGCACAACAGAGGGAAACACTGCCCAGTCAATTGTTTGAGCCCATTGCTGTTGCCATTGTGTCACACCATTTTGTTGGGGTCTTCTTTGTTTTCACTGACCTTCCATTTTAGCAATCATGATGTCTTTCTCCAGGGACTGGTTCCTCCTGATAATATGTCTGAAGTATGAGAGATAAAGTCTTGCCATTCTGCCTTTTAAGGAACATTATGGTTGTACTACTTCCAACACAGATTTGTTTGTTCTACTGGCAGTTCATGGTACTCTCAGTATTCTTCTACAACACCATAACTCAAATGCATCAATTTGTCTTCCTTATTCATTGTCCAGTTTTTACATGCATATGAGGCACTTTAGTCCTCAAACTGATATTTTTGCCCTTGAACATACTAAAGAGGTTTTTTGCAACAGATTTGCCTAATGCGATATGTTGTCTGATTTCTTGACTGTTGCTTTCAAGAGTGTTGATTATGGACCAAAGCAAAATGAAGTCTTTGACAACTTCAATCTTTTCTCCATTTATAATGATGTAGAAGAATTGATGCATATGAATTGTGGTGTTGGAGATGAATATTGAAGGTACCAGGAACTGTCAGAAGGTCTTTTTGGGACGATGTACAGCTGGAGTGCTTCTTAGAAGCCAGGATACTGAGACTTCATTTCTCATACTTTGGACAGGTAATTAGGAGGGGAAGTTTTAGGAGAAGTACATCATGCTTGGGAAAATGGAGGGTCAGCAAAAAAGAGGAAAACCCCCAATGAGATGGATTGGCACAGTGACAGCAGCAATGGGTTCAAACATAAAAACAACTGTGAGGATGGCTGAAAACTGTGTTTTGTTCTGTTGTACATAGGGTATCTATGAGTTGAAACCAACTTTACAGCACCTAACAACAAGAGAAAGTGGTTCTGTTCCTGGAATACTGAGAAGCACTGAAACTGGGGAGAAGCAAGGCTGACACTTTCACAACTCCAGTGGTGGCCCCAGTGCTAATAACCCCACAACATGAACTCCTAAGCACAAGTTTATAGGCTTTATTTAAAACAACAACAACAACAAACATACATTGAACACTAATTGAAATGTGATTTAATGCACAGGTTTGCTGTGCCAAAATTGAGGTTCTTGGTTTAAACTCTCAACTTCTAAGTCATTTCAGGCTAGCTAGTGATGAATGCACATACTGGGACCAAAGTTGATTTGTTTTTCATACTTGAACACCATTTTTTTTTTTTTTTTTGCAGTACTTTTATTTCAGATTGCTAAAAAGTTTTGGATGATCTTAAAGGAGTCTACATTGTATCATGAATATCGGCATCTCCTAATGGAGAATAGTGGATGTTGGCTTCCTGGAAGGGTCAATGTGTGAAAGCTAACAAGCGTAGATATTAGGGAAGACAGGTTTATGATGCAAAGTGTTAGCATTATTAGCTCAAGAGAGATCTATGCCCCAAAGCAACTCAAAACTACTGTATAAATAAAGTTTTAAAGTCATTTCATTTCCTAAGTGAAAATACATTTGTTTGTTTTTCTAACTCAGTACCTCAGTGCTTCACTTTCTAGAAATCCCATCGGTATTCTCATGCTATTTGATTAGAGAACAAGCTACTTCTTAGTGATGTAAAGAGGCAACAAATAAAGAAGCACCAATGGTCAAATTCTCACAAACAGGTCTTGTCTCATCAGTAACAAAAATTAGGAAGGTCAGCAGTATGTGGATATTTCCCAGCATCCATGAAAATGTTTTGTCAGTAAGAGATACTGAGTCTGACAACAGGCATCAGTTTCTCTCTGGAAAAGTTATGAGCATATGAAGACGACTCTTTGAGTCTTTACTACACAAAATTCTCACAGAACCTAAACCTCAACGGACTCTGAAGAGTGGCTTAGCCAAGTAAGCCTCCTTTTAGTGTTTGTTTGTTTTTTCACAGAACTGAAAACAACAACACATGCTTATGATAGCACTACAAATATGGGTATATTTCTTTCTGCATATTTTTATTACATGTAGAATCCTTAATAATAATAGGTGCACAAATACCTTCTAAGTAATCCCTTTATTAGACTAACAGAGTGATGCAGATTCAACCTATGTTGAAAAGCAAAATTAAGGTGATGGTAGTGGTGGTAGTGTGCTGTGGAGTCGGTTCTGACTCATAGGGACCCTGTATAGGGTTTCTGAGGCTGTAAATCTTTATGGGAGCAGAAAGCCTCATATTTTAGCAGCCCGACTTTTAACCACTATGCTGCCAGAGCTCTTTAAAATTATAGTATCACATACCTATTATTAAAACACATCTTTTTGAAGAATGCAAAAAGTTTCAGATTGTCTTTTCCAACATGACAATTAAACTACTCTTACTACTAGTCATTGTCAGCACCAATATTAAAGAAGCTGTGAAACTTTGCTTACCATAGATACTATTGACTTGAACATGGTAGATATTATTGACTCGGTGCTTTACAGACGTGGTGCTAATATAGACTCAAAAGCTTTTCGTTTCATTAGATAAACTACCACCTCCGGTGATTTGGAAATGTTGAACAGCTAGCTCCATGATCTGTCTCATTGCTCTGTCCTTGTGGTTCTTTCCTTGTGCCTAGTGGCACAGGGCTCTGGGAAGACCGTGACTGGCTTTTCTGTGATTTGGAGAAACCCCCAAATAGATATATAACTTAACTTTTTGATCTGCTTTAAAACTATGTTAAGGACACCTCACTGAAGAAAGCCCTGGGCCCAGCTGGTAGAGGACCTATGCCCTCAGACCCAGCTCATCCCCTAGTACAGGTAAAATCAGATCTGGGACCAGATTTAGACAAAAACCGTTTATTGGGAACTTGGGCCTTAAAACGTGCTTCAGCTTAGATTACATATCAGTTTGAAGAGACAAAGAACAGCGTGTGCACTGAGTTCAATAGCTATACCCTATACTGTTTGCTCAATCAGAACACATGTGCATCATAACCTACTATATAACTGTGAGGTGTGTTGCAACATTATGTTGGGACCTTATGGCAAACATTTGAAACACAAAGGCAGTGTAACAAAGTAATATAAAAATACACAGCATCCATCCAGAGGCACATGTGTGACACACAGGGAACACTGGAGATATAGTATAAAAAAACTAATCATATCAGCAGCTTAATACAGTCAGAGAGTTCTAGAGTTTTGCATACCAGGGATGTTGTCTGAATCAATATTAGTTGGCAATTCTTTGAGTTTTTCTCCCTAAGAGATACCCACAATGGACAGGCTGTCCCAGTGAATACAGTTTATTTCTTGAGTCACACAGCTCTTGAAGAATCCCAGGGACGTGGTGCATGTAATAAATAAGAACATGGTTGCAGAGCAGGGCACTGTTTTTCTCTGTAATTTAATAGTGGGCTCCTGAAAGCTGGCACCTTCATTTGCAGAGGATTCCATTTGTTAGGGTTTTGTTGTTGTCAGTGATGCAGGGAGAAGTGTATGTTTGGGGAAGGTCTTCCTTGATCTTCTGAGAGTGGCTACTATTGTTGCTGGTGCTCGATTTGCTGTGGCTTGGATCCAGTGCCGGCTGAATGGGCAAGGAGCGGGTGCCCTGGCCCTTGACCAGACAGTTGCAGACCAAACGGAAGAATGCCTGCCGCATTTCCTTGCTGGCCAGAGTATAGATGATGGGGTTCATGGCAGAGTTGAGCACAGCCAGAATGATGAACCAGTGGGCCTTGAACAGAACAGCACACTCCTTCACCTTGCAGGCCACATCAATAAGGAAGAGGGTGAAGAGTGGGGACCAGCAGGCAATGAATACACTCACCACAATCACCACTGTCCGAAGCAGGGCCATAGACCGCTCTGAGTTGTTGGGGTTGGCTACCTTGCGGCTACTTGACTTCACTAAGAAATAGATCCGGGCATAGAGGATCACGATCGTCACAAAAATGGCTATGAATATGCTGATGCAAAATGCGATGTACTTCTTGGAGTAGAGAGGCAGGATGGTGGAACAGTCAGAGAGATTGTGAAGGCAGTTCCAGCCCAGAATGGGTAAGGCCCCCAGGGAGAAGGCAACTAGCCAGCACATTCCAATCAGAAGGAAGACCCGGTGCTTCTTGTTGGCATCATAGGGCCTCATTTTGATCATTGTCAAGTGCCTCTCAATAGCAATGGCCAACAAGCTGCAAGTGGAGGCCCCAAGAGCCACAAACATACTGCCTTCCCTTATAAACCAGACAGTTGGAGACAAGCTGAGAGTTTTCTTGCCTGACATCAAAATGTTGACCTTATACACTATGCCAGCCAGCAAATCACAGAGAGCCAGATTGCCAATGAAGAAGTACATCCGGTTGTGGAACTTGTTGTTTTTCCAGATGACGATCAAAACCATCAGGTTCTCTAAGACAATGAAGCTACAGATGATCAGGAACATGACAGTGGTAAGTGTGCTGCTATGGGTGGCCTCCTTCAGCCTGTTCTCTAGCTTCCCCACATAATTGTAGTGTTCATGCAGTGTTGCATTTCCTGAGGAGGGCTTTGCTCGAGGTGTAAAGACAGTTGCCATGACTTGGAATTCAAAGACGTTTACCTCTGAAATCCACGAGAGGGTGCTCTGGGAACATCCTCCAAGGCACTCTTTTCAAGGAAACACTGGCTTCAGTGGGATTGCAGGGCAATCAAAAGTAGAGTCCTGTGGAAAGATCAAAGGGAGGGCGTGCTATTGACAAATTAAACACCACCAAAACAAAGATGACAGCGGCAAAGCTGGAGAGAGGAAACACTACAAACGTTTTTTAGGGATGACTATGTAAAGGACACACAAAGCACTTTTAAGAATGCATGCCAAATTTATAAGTGATCCAGAGAGACCATGAGAAGTAATTAGATACTGGGAGGAGCTCGGTTGAGAAAGTCAGTGATTGAGTGCCAGAATCATTTACTCACAGACCCATATAAAGTTGTGTTTTGTTTTGTTTTTTCTCAATCTCAAAGCACTTAGAAATGCAAACCAGTTAATCCTCAATCCACCCCTATGGGAGTTGGTTTCCCCCAGTTCCAAGAGGGAAACTGAAAATCTTCTCAGGGTAAAATATAAGAAGGAATTGAAAAGATGCACATTAGACTCCTGGGACCTGCAGGATGAATTTTGAAGTAATGTGCGGGGTGGGGAAGCAATCACGATTCCTGGACAGCCTTCCTTTGTACCAGGACTAGAGCTAGAAACCCAGTCTGGGTGGGCTGTGGCATAACTAAAGCTCCACTGCATAACTATTAAAGAAAGAAGGGTAAAAATGTCATGCAAACTCCCGACACACACTTTGGAATGAGCTGCTACTTCTGGAAAGGAATCCAAACTTATCAAAGTGGGATCAATTACTGTTGAGGCTAAGGAAATAAAGGAAAAGCAATGACAAACACATAGACTTCAAGGGTGGCCTGAAAACACTGAAAAACCTCACTATCAAATGTAAACATCTAACCTCCCCATGAATCCAAATCAATGTATTTGAGCTGAAATCGGACTTAACTGATTTGACTCCCGTGATTATGATTATGAATTTGATCAAATTATCAAGGTAGAAACTGTCTTTAGTGGACTCCTGATTTTTTTTAATTATTATTATTACACTTATTTGTTGTTGCTGTTGTTAAGTGCCCTTGAGTCAGTTCAGCATTTAAATATCAAATGAAGATTAAATGAGATTAATTGAAAAACAGCCCACTTGTATATGAAGTTAAAGATGCACTTTTGCTTTTTCCTTTCTATCATGTTTGAACTACAACTTTAAATTTGGTTCAGAGTCAAATGGACCACTTTCTAAGAAAATGGGTCCTAGATCTCAGGACACAATAGAATTTGAAGGCTTCCTTTACTCACAGAGTTCACTCCCAGGTCTGCGGTCCAATAGGGATTTTAAATAGAGGGCCTGAGTCCTTGCAGGAACTGGGAGCACTAGGGTGGTGAATGGTGTGTGGATGTGACAAGCAAGAGGATTTCAGACTGGTTTCCCAGGGCCCTGCTGACTCCATCAAAACTCCTCTCACTAATTTGTTTGGGAGTCTTGGATCTCTTGACAGCTGGAAATGTAGTCCCACTGTTTCTTTGCATACATATTTTCCCTTGTCATGGGACTAGGGTGTGTCCATTGTACCTGAAACTATATGGGCTCCAGTGTCTGGACTGACACCTGCCTTTTGCCTGGAACTGTCTCACAGAACTCTTCACTGGCCCCTAAAGGAGCACTGTCTGAGGCTACAGAAGATGCTGAAGTTTGAAATCAGGTCTAGTGTCACATACCGTCAATTTACCAAACTGTGGTGGCTTTCATGTTGCTATGACACTGAAAGTTATGTCATCAGTTTTTTAAAAATCCAGTAAGATCATCCATAGTGGACAGGTTTCAGAAGAGCTTCCAGATTAAAATAGACAAGGAAGAAACGAGGGGTGATTTACTTCTGAAAATTATCCAGTGAAAACCGTACGGATCACAGAATATTGTCTAAGACTTTGACTTGCATACTTTAAATGTGTCATCAGGAAAGATCAATTACTGCAGAATGACATCGTGTTTAGTAAAATACAGGACCAGGGAAGTAGGTGGAAACCTTTAGAGAGATGGATTGACACGATGACCATAATAATGGCTCAAAGATATCAATGATGATAAAAGATGACACAGGAACAGACAATATTTTGTTCTGTTACAAACAAAGTCGATGTGAGTTGGAGCCAAATCAATGGCATGTAACAATAACAGCTGGCAGAAATGCATACAATTTAGACCCTCTCCTAATCTTGAAGAGGAAAAAGCCAGCAAGCTTTGAAGTGGGGCTAAGGACTGCAAGCTAATGACATCATCTTCTTAGGATCCAAAACAGGCAGCCTAGGTCCTCACTGCCTCTCTTATTGCCTTAATGTTGGCTGGCTGTCCCAGCCTAAAAGAGGACTCGGTCTCACTAGCAAATGCTCCAGTAGACCATCAAGATGCTTGGCATTTTTCTCACTGGCTCCCTCCATTTTTGCCCTCTAATTTTCATTAGAATTGTTACCATCCTTGAAGCCCAAGTCAAATTATAACTGCTTCACAACATTTTCTGGAATCAGCCCAGTTCCCAGGGACTTTTCTCTGAGACTACAAAATAATATTTGTTTGCTTGTTTTGTTTTTTGCTTTTATTGCAAGCTGTCTTTTCTTCTTATTATTTTTAATTGTGCTTTGGGTGAAATTTTACAAAGCAAACTAGTTTTCTGTTCAACAATTCATACACACTTTTGTTACCTGTCATGGAATGCTACCCTCAAAATGTAGGAATACTCATTCAACTACTTATCTGTTTTCTGTTTCCATTCATCCTTCTTTCCTGCCTTCTGAACTTTATCTCTGAGCAAATACTGCCATTTTAATTTTGAATGGTTGATTACCATAAGGCAAATAAATGCGTTCCTCGTATTCCAGTTCACCTTACAGGTGATGTTGCTAATTCCTTTGTCTCAGTGCTGAGTTCATTTTGTTTATGGATTTTCTTATAATTTCCTTCATTGCTCTCATTGTAGTGTTTACTGAGTCTTTTTGATTTTCTGCTTTTTTATTTTGGTGAGCAGGCTTATTTAAAAATTTTTTTCAGGTATCTCTGCAATTTATTACCATCTTCCAAAGTTCAGTATAGTCCACTCTATCTTGATATAGCTAACCTCATTTCCATTGGAAGTTCTGTAACTACACCATTTATATTTACTCTTTTTGCTTTAATTTTGTTGACAGATGCCTTTGAATCAGTTTTGACTCATAGTGATCCTACATTGTCCAGTCCTGAGACATTCTCACAATAATTACGTTTGAACTGATTGCTGCTTCCACTGTATCAATCCAACTCCTTGAAGGTCTTCCTCTTTTTCGCTGACCCTCCTCTTTACTAAGTGTGAAGTCCTTCTCCAGGGACCTGACAACATGTCTGAAGTATGTAAGATGAAGTCTTGTCATCCTTCCTTCTAAGAAGCATTCTACCATACTTCTCCCAACACAGATTGGTTTGTTCTTTTGACAGTTCATGGTACTTTTAATATTCTTCTTCAACATCGTAATTCAAATGCATCAATTCTTCTACAGTCTTCCTTATTCATTGTTCAAGTTTCACGTGCATTATGAGGTGAATGAAAACATCATTGCTTGAGTCAAGTGTACCACAGTCCTCAAACTGACATCTTTGCTCTTGAACACTTTAGAGAGGTCTCTTGCAACAGATCTGCCCAATGCAATACATTATTTGATTTCTTGACTATTGCTTCCATTGTTGGAGTACTGATTGTGGATCTGAACAAAATGGAAGTCTTTGACAACTTTAATCTTTTCTCCATTTATCATTTATTGGTCTCCATTGATTGGTCTAACTGTGAGGATTTCTGTTTTCTTTACATTGAAGTACAATCCATACTGAAGGCTATAGTGTTTGATCTTCATCAGTAAATATTTAAGCCGTCTTAACCTCCAGCAAGCAAGTTTGTATAATTTGCATACCATAGATTGTTAAAGTCTTCCTCCAATCCTGATATCACATTCTTCTTAATATAATCTAGTTTCTGGGATTATTTGCTCAGTATTTTTAGTTGTTGTTAGGTGCACTTGATTAGATTCTAACTCATAGTGACCTATGTACCACAGAATGAAACACTGCCTGGTCCTGCCCCATCCTCACATCATTAAGCTTGAGCCCATTGCTACTACCACTGTACCAATCCATCTAGTTGGGGGGGTTCCTCTTTTTTATTGACCTTCCATTTTACCAAGTATGATTTTTTCTCCAGGGATTGGTTCATCCTGACAATGCGTCCAAAGTATGAGAGAAGAAGTCTCACCATCCTGGCTTCCAAGGAGCATTTTGGTTGTACTTATTCCAATACAGATTTGTTTGCTCTTCTGGAAGTCCACGGTACTTTTAATATTCTTCTCCAACATCACAACTCAAATGAACCAATTCTTCTGTGGACCTTACTCATGGTCCAACATTCACGTGTATATGAGGTTATTGACAATTGGGTCACACATACCTTAGCCCTCAAACTTACATTCTGCACTTGAACACTTTACTAAACAATACATCGTGTGTTGCAAATTTACCTAATGTGATACTTCCTTTGACTTCTTGACTGATGCTTCCATGAGTGTTGACGGTGAATCCAAACAAAATGAAGTCTTTGACAACTTCAACCTTTTCTCCTTTTTAATATTATTTATTGAGGATTTTTGTTTTCTTTACATTGAGGTGCAACCCATACTGAAGGCTGTGAGCTCTGATCTTCATCAGTAAATATGCTAAATTCTCTTAGGTTTCAGCAAGCAAGGTTGTATCATCTGAAAATCAGAGGTTGTTAGTGAGTCTTCCTCCAATCCTGATGCCACATTCTTCATATAATCCAGCTTCTCGGATTATTTGTTCAGAATACAGATTGAATAAGTATGGTGAAAGAATATAATCTTTGCTGATTTTTAAACCATTTCTTCTTTCTTTATGTGAACTGAGGTTGTCTGTTTTCTCTGAGAAGCTCTGGTATTATTGTATTTATTTG